CCCGTTTTGCAAAGATGCGCTGACAGCTGCGTGAAAAAGTACGAGATGGTCGATTGAGCTAGATCCGCGCTTTCAAGGTTACAAAGTGTCAGCTCCCTTTCAGCCACAGGTGCATCACGCTGAAAAGGCGAAGTAGAGTTGAGCTCCGAATGTGGAGCAACAGCTGCTTTCAGATGCTATATCCTTTTGAGGAGTGCGTAGTTACCCAGACACACAAACATATGCATGTTAAGTGTAGATAGTAAAAAAAAGTCCAGCCTAGCCACAATGGTAGGCTCTAGGGGACCCCGTACCCTTGTCAACTCGTGGAGTTGTATAAGAGCTGATATAGACCGGAGGAATTATGTCGGATCTGGCTTTCGGCTATCCGTTCTAGACGCTTATGCCATGGGGAGGAGAGGATTTCTCGAAACAAGAATTTGTTGCATCATGGGCTTCGGTAAGATAAGGATCTTGGCACCTTTTGATGTATGCCCATGTAAGGGGGCGCTGGTATAAAAAAAACACCCAGGTCCAACGGTCCAACTACAACTAGAATGGCCAGCCTTGGCCAGAACATACAACATGCCACAACTAGCTGACACAGCTATGTCAGAAACCCTATATAACCCATTATTGTAGTTTCCATTTTATTTTCCATTATCCCCATATAACCCCCAGAAAAGCTGACGACCCTAAGCTCTCACCCCATGCGCCCATGTCCGGTTAATGGTGCGCCCCTATACAGTTGATGGTTTATAGGGCTTAGGTTCATCGTCCCACTTAAGTAGATAGAGTATGGGGTTGACCAAAACTGTAGTAAGATCCTCACATACTCCATATTCTATCTAGGGTTTTTAAGCCGTATGCCCTTCAAACTCCCCATGGCTGTACGATCGCCTGGCAATTAATCTGCCCTGCTTGAGGCAAGATCAGGTAACAGAGTTGTATGTGGGGGTGTCCTAGAATAAGGGGTACCCGGGATATTCTCAGGATATTCTTGGATGAGGGTTTAGGGTTTGCCTCATTATCATTCACTTGCAATAATAAGCTGATTTTTTTCTGCAGGCCCACGGCCTGAAACCGCAAAATCATGGCCCTGAAATCTTGCTCTCTGGAGAGACACGGCTTTTGTAGGCCTATTTTGGTGAAAATAGATCCACGGCTTCCAGCCCAGACGGCAGATGAATTGTCAAGTGATACTTACCACTCCTTTTCGCTGAGCGAGGGACCGGAGCGTGGAGCGCATCGCAAGTCTTTACATGACTATAATCGAACTGGAGTACATAGCCGGAGCGCTTTACTTGCCCATTTCTAACAACCTTCCTTTTTTGAAGCAGACACTTGCGTGCGTTCTCAGCCCAGACATGCCTAGATTGAGTTTGCATCAGGTTCACGCGCGGTCTTGTCTGCAGACCGCAGCACACCGCTTGGGCACTTGATAGTTTTTGGTAGGCCGTTGTTGTATTCAGTCATGGATCCTGGGACTCCTAAATCGATGGAGGGGCCCTTTCTGGAATTCGCATGTTGGGATTCCCTGGTTGTTCGAAGCTCGCCAAATGGGTGCACACTTCGGTGTAGGCTCAGCAGCCATGTTGTGCCCGTGTTGTATACTACATATACCGCACCACGAAGGGGAAACTGAGACCCAGACTTTCATGTAAGACCCAACAGAGCAAAATGCTCTCACTGCCTGAGTGGTTTTACCTTTCCCCTCAGTGGATCCTGGCTCTTGTTGGTGTTATGCAGCCAAACCCTAAACCCTAAACCCCTAAACCCTAAATCCTAAACCCTAAACCCTAAACCCTGTGGTTCTCTCACGGAAAGCCAGGAGCCCTGGGGGCTCAGACGCCCACGCAAGCCTCCGCGAATACGGTAGCCACAAAAGCCCAGACCCCCTAAAGGATCCAAAAAATGGAACCCCCCCAAGATGAACCCATTACTACATTGGGGAAGCTATGAGATTATTAGGGGGTTCCATTTTTTGGATCCTTTAGGGGGTCTGGGAGAGCATCACCAGGGCCGCGGGCGGAGAAGTCCATTAGCCTCGTGTGGATACATAGGGGTCATTTATGGGGTATACAGGGGTTATATAGGGATAAGAAAAGAAGATGGAAACTATGATTTAGGCATAAGACGTAACGTAACTGCGTTGGCTTTTCGTCGACAATGCAGGTTGTCAGTTCATAATCTCAGGAATTCCCCGTGCCCCCTGTACTTCGTTCTGGCTATGGGCTTTGGGCATGGAGCTATGTTGCCAGAGTTATACATGTGCACTAGACACTGGTGCGCTGTGACATTCCTTCATAATCCCAGTAGGCTCCCCTAAAAGCCAAAGTAAATCTTGCGTGGTACCCCATGCCAACTCCGTTTCCCGTGCAAGATTCCGTTTCAGATGCGTGTCAGATGGCTAGCATCCGCTAGAGAAAGTAACGCAGGCAGACGCACTCAAGAGAGCCAAGAAAGGCTTCGATCTCCCAAAGTTTGTTTGATGTGCCCGTATGTTTGATTTGATTTGTATTTTGTCTTTGCTGCTTCTGCCGGCCTTGTGTAAAGGACATCCCAGTAGTGTGGCAGCATTTCTTGCATTGTTGCATGAGCATTTGCCAGCAGGACAATCCTGAAAGGAGAGTTGGGTGCAAGGTTGCAAGCCCTACGCAAGGCTTGTGCAGCACTTTGCCAGCTTTCCACATGCTAAATTCTGAACGCCGGTTTTCCTTCAGCTCGTGTGCCTGATTGTGTGCCCAAATCTGACACACCCTACGTAATCCCTTTTGTTTCCAAAGCCCAAGCCTAAACTCAAGGTTCCTCCCCCAAAGCTACAAATGAAGTGATGCTCGTACGCCGAGGACCAATAGCCAGGATGATTGGTGGAATTCGATGCCCAGGCAGGATTCGGGTTTCTTTGCTGCCTCGAGTGACAAAAATGAGCAGCAGCAATGATCATTGTATATCATTGTGAGGTGTTAAGGCATAAGGGGCTACAGAATCAAAGTACTGATCGAGGAGGAGCAAGAATGAGAATGATGCTAGGATGTGTTATGGGGCACCCAATGCAAGCAACGTTGAGCAAGCATGCTAGCAGCAGGGTGCTAGTTGAGTAGTATTTTATTTG